TTTTTTTCTAATAAGGGGTTGAGAAAAATACAATTTTGTTCAATTAAAAACATTAACCAAATCCTCTTCTGTTACCCTGTATTTTTTCTTTGTGGATTAATGAACAGTTATTGAGATTTTTTAACTTACATATCCACAATTTAGGCATTTCAACGACTGTTAAGGCCTTAATTTAGAAATTTTCGTAAAACTATAGACATTTAAAAAAATAATGAATATCTTTATCAAAAAGCCGCATCTGTGTATTCATTTCGTATTCATTAAATTACGAAAAACACGCGGTGATGTTTCGATATTACACTACCTCCATTTGCAACTGACTGTACCAATCGACTTATAAAAGCAACACAATACTGTCAAATTCTTATCAAGGATGAGCGAACTTGGCGACTCTTTTTTACATGACTATGTTTGCAAAATTATCTCCGCAAAATTCAAAAATAGTCGTTCCGGTCGGGTAGCGCCACGCAGGCAATAAATCAACTTGAAAAAATTGCCAATTATCTCTGTTGCTCTTAGGAGATCACAGTTGGTCACATCATAGTGAGTCTGTGCTCTTCTCGGAAAGTTCGGGAGTTAAAAATAAAATTTGTTAATTATATAAATAGAAAATTTCCAACTAACCGAATAATAAAACGTTAGAACGACATACCGCTATTTGCCGGCTTTCGCTATTAGTACTGTGCATTGGACGGACGGATTTTGAAACGGTTTTAACCATAATTTAAATTTTTTTTTGGATAATTAGGTTTTTGAGAGTAATAAATTATATGATGCATATTCTATGGTAAAGAAGGTAGAGAAATATTAGCGTTTTGTAAGCAAGTCATTAAGAAATAATACTAAGCGCTAACACGCAATGTTCTAGTATAATATTATGCTATAAACTTCAACTACCGCCATCTGTTGAATGCCGTGAAATATTTCTGGCCACCCTAAGTTATCTCTCATAACAACCACAATAAGAAATGAGGCGATATATTCTCTTACGCTAAACACAACACACATATATTGTCCATTTTGTTTACATTTTATTAAATTCTTATATATAAATAACCGCGTAGTGGCGGTGTAAGAATATCCACTAACGCATATCAATAGTGATGGGCTACAACATTTTCCTGATAAAAAATCAAAATAATAAAATATATTCATAGGTTTTAATAGGTAGGTATAGAATATAATAGAACCCCACTCAGACTGTGGTAAAATTACTTTGAAATTATAACAATACATATATAGTTTGCGTAGAATGCTTTTAAGGCTTTAACTAGCCTGAATGATCTTGACGAAACGGCGATCGCAGAGATTTTAGCCGACGTCAACACCGTCTAGCAGCTACGTTAAGTATTACTTATAAAAGTGCAAAGATTAATAGACTGCAGATATGGCAATTATATAAGGGACATACTGCCTGTTATGCATGCGCATCACTGAGAATTATGTCGCGGTTACGCATCTTCAATTACATTGCACGGTGTGATGCTGTAGCTTTGTCTGGTAGGCGTCACGAGCTATCAAGTGTTCAAGTTTCAAGTACGTAAGAGTTTTTTATTATATATGTTAAATCGTATTTCTTTGTGTCGCATTAGTAGATCTATGTCAAAGCATTCGCTGTAAATTTTTCCTGGGTTTGATTCCCGACAGCGCGAATGAAATTTGTAATTGCAATTTTCGTCAACACGCATTGGGGAAGCACGGCGGGCATTTCCTTGTCCTAAAACCCTCTCAGAAATAAAAAGAGTCCTGTGCCCAGTAGAGGGAATTGTATAGCCTATTTCTTTACTTCGTAGCAATATTCATATTCGTTTCAGATGCAGAAGGGTACCTTATGCTAACAAAAATATCATGTGGATGCGACGAAAACGTAAAATATCTTTATACTTAGATAAAACGTTTGAGAGATTGTCTGTCATGTCATAAGCCACATTTTCTATAGAGCGTAGAACATTGCAGATAGGGCAAAAAAAAAAATACAAAATATTATGGCAACTCTTTATTAATAATATATAAATTTATAGGTATTTATAATAAAAATAATAAACAAGCTGCAAGGTTCAACTAATAATGTTTCTTGTAAACACAATTGTAAAATTCCTGTATTAATTTTTACCAATGGTTAATTGATGAAACGTAGTCAAGATCACTTCATACAAAACATATTTAATTAAAATTGATACATAACCTATTTGGCCTTCTACTAACAACACGGCGGAAATTTAAAAAGAAGATTTTGTCTTTTCACACAAGTATTGTTTACAACTTGCGTGGTTTCGAAAAGCGTGACTAAGTGTCAGTGGTATATAATGAATTAAATACTGAACTTTTTTGAAATTTATTTTTTTGTTTATTTTGTTACATCTTCTGAAAAACTGACGCAATCTCATTTGTTATTTTTTGTAACGCATAAGGATAAGTTAAACTAAGTTAGATTAACTTGGATAAGTTTATATTTTTTTTAATTTTATCACAAAGTTTCCGCAATAAATTATTACCTTTTCTACAGTGATTCTCTCCTCTTAGTTTCGGCGTGACTGTAGGATCTTATAGTGAGTCACCGTCAGTTATTAAGCGCCCATAAATCATTATACGTATGCATAGACATACAAATATACATTTTTCGATTTTAATATTTATGTTATTTTGAATTTTGATTGATTTTTGAAACCTGGTAATAAATTATTTTTTTCCATACCAATTGATGGGCCTGACTATAATGCCAGTTATGGTCTATGGCTGAAGTTATTTTTTATTTTATGCTCAATCGCAGACAAAACAATATTGATTGCGCATCTCTAAAACAAAATTTTACCTCTTCTCCTTCTAATAATAGCTCCTGCATCTAACACAGCGGAATAGTTATTATTATCTATAAGACCATTTGCAGAAACAGTTTTTGTTAACAGCTATGAGTGTAACATTTTTATCAGCTGCTTTGTTTTTAGTGCCTTGAGCAACACTTTTCCGGTTTCTGTACAGAAAATGATGCTGGCTTTGCAAATATGGATGGCCGCTACCATTAAATATAACACTGTTACACTTATTTACTTTAATCATCATTTGCATAAAATTCTAAATTCTAGTCAATCATTTAGCCATGTGATAAAACTTTTAAGTGTGCCTGGTTCGGCTAGTTTAATAAGCAGCCGAAATTTCTTTGTTTATTTTGCTCTGAATACTCGCAACTGTTACACCAATGTTACTTTGGTTTGGATGTCCGTGTATTTCGCGGGTCGATGTGACTCTTGCGTACTATTGGTCCGTTAAAATTATGGACATCTTCCCGTCACGTGATCACATACTGTCAACGCCGCGCGTCGTGAGAAATGGCACGTTTTTTCGCTGCTCCCTAATATATGTTCCGCCGCAAGTTATTCCTAGAATTGGATAATCGTGAGTGACCGAAATCCGTGTAGCTGGGATCCCCGAAGAAGCGCACGAGAGCAGGAGCATCCGCCTTCGTATATTCAGGTACGTCCGACCTTAGTAATATTGTCTAGTTAACGGTATCGAGTAGAATCAGCCAGCGTCTATGCAAATTACAGTCCATTTACCATTTTCAACCAAAACTTGGTCCATCTCCCCGGATGACATTCGGATTGGAACTATTAAATAGGTAAATCCGATTGTGATTCGACTCTTCGACGTAATTGATACTGAACCTTATTGTGGCATACTTGGGTTGATGTCGACTATTTATACTGTTAGTTGTCGACTTGTAAATACTACTTAATATTGATGTATTTTCCGCATCGCATACAGCCGTTTACAAGATCGATTTTATATGTTTATAACTAAGAAACATTCTTATTAATCGCATCGACTTTTAGACAGCTGTCGCATTTAATTTATTTAATCGCATTTAATATTATTATCATATCGCTCCGTAAATATTTAAATCGGTTCGATTTAATTTACCTAGTGGGTAGAAATAACCGCCGCGCCTCGCCGCCAGCCATTGTGCAGTTTATCTAAGTACCGTATCGCACCTTTTTCTTAGTTTGGTACATATGCAGCGCATGACATATATTAAAACTGATTTGAATTTCTAGTGGAGTTCGCAAACTTTGTATACTATTAATACAGTTAAATTACTTAAATACTTATTAACTAACCTGCTCATTTATATTTCTTCAATCACGCATGAAAATTTATTTACATTTAATTCGTAAAAACAAGGATAATTTACTCACTTTGGGGTAATATAATCGTGTTCTAATAAATATATTTACAATGACGGAAAAGGGTGCAGGAAAAGATAGACGCCTTATGCAACTTAAATTGTTAGAAGCTAAGCGTCAATTGTATTTCTCTCAAATAAATAAGACCTTTCAACTATCATCGAAAACAGATGAAAAATCACGGCATAATTTCTTATCACAAGCTCGCGCCGTCGATCAATTACGTAAAGAGTTTGTAACTTTGGTTGATGATATAAATTTATTAAATTTGGAAGTAGATCCCGATTATAGTATTAATTACCAGCCGTTATCAGCTTTGACGACTTATATTATTTTATTAAGGATATCCTGAATAGTATGGAGAGAACAAACCCACAATCGCAAGCCGTCACACATGCAATTAATCAGGAACATACTATTAAGATTCCTCGTATTGAATTGCCTATTTTCGATGGTGAATTACAAAACTTTCCTTATTTTTACGAAACGTTTAAACGTGTTATACACGAAAATAAAACGTTAACGGATTCGGAACGTATTCACTATTTAATGAGCCACCTTTCCGGAAAAGCAAAACATATATGTGCTGGTATAATCCCGGCGGCAGATAATTACGTAATTATTTGGCAAACTTTACAAGACAAATACAAGGATAACAGAGCTTTAGCTACGACATATCTAAATCAGTTATTTGCATTAAAGAATATTAACGGTCCCTCTGCAATAAATTTAGAAAATTTGGTAGATAAATACGCGGCCACGATCGCAGCACTCAAACAACTTAATATAGATAATTTAAGTGACTTTATTTTTGTTTACATGGGCCTAAAGCTTGTAGATTCCGATACTGCGAAGTGTTTCGAAACAACAGTTCGTAGTCAAACGGACATGCCTAAATACGACGATTTTGTTAAGTTCTTACGAGAACAGGTAAAAATTTTGTATCGAACCAGCACTTCATCACAAACTCGTGGCAGTTCCATGGCACCGCATCCCAACTCTGGTAGTCGCCCATCTAGCTCACGGGCTTTAACCGTGCCGCCACGCGTCTTAGTCTCCACGCAGCAGACCCAAGGTCGTACTAGGCCATGTAAGCTTTGCAACAACACGGCGCATACGCATCTCTATGCATGTAAACCCTTTGCTAACCTTTCGGCTGCCGACAAATTTAAATTCGTTAAGGACAATCGTTACTGCGTTAATTGTTTGAGTAACCAACATACTTCTTTTTATTGCAACTCAAACACTTCTTGTCGCAAGTGTAATGCCAGGCATCACACGTTGCTTCATTTTGGAAATGAACCATTTGCGGCGCAGTCTTGCACCGCCACTGTAGCCGTGAACGAGGAACATGATACTAGTGAAATACTGAGCTCACTAGAACTTGAAGAAGAGTCCTCCTCCGATCAAGTGCGTGACGGTTATTTGGCTGGAGAAGGAAATCCAGAAGTGTCGTATTGCTCGTTGTCTTCTACAAAATGCGATTCATCATCAACAACGCAAGTTCTCGCAACCGCAAAGGTTTATGCCACCGGTCGCGATGGTCGCGATGTAAAAGTTAGATGTTTACTGGATCCTGGTTCCCAGAAACATTATATTACAACAAAATGTTGTTCAAAACTACAGCTAAAGGTCGAATCTAATTCGCCTGTAACGGTGAAGGGAATAGGTGGCTCATCACAGATAGTCAAGGGGGCGGCAAATATTTCTTTTCGATCTCGATTCAATAATACAAAATTTAATATTCAGGCTCTAGTGTTAAATCGAATCACTAGTAATATACCAACGTGTAATATCGATACTAGATTCCTTGAAAATCTACGTAGTATTCCCATGGCGGACGATGGCTGGGGTATGCCAGGAGAAATAGATTTATTAATCGGTGTTAGTCTTTTTGCAGAGATGCTACGACCTGGTAAAATTATCGGGGAACCCGGTTCTCCGGATGCGCTTGAGACCGTTTTAGGATACATCGTTCTAGGAGATGCTCCAGCGGTTATCCAGGCTCAAGCCCCAGCAGTCGTAGCTTTTCATGCTATTTCAACATCTGAGGTCGAGACTCTAGTTAGGAAAATGTGGGAACTCGACGAAATTGATCCTAAGCATATCTTTAGTGCTGATGATAAAATATGCGAAGAAAATTATAGCAAGACTGTCACGCGTGCTACTTCCGGACGCTACGAAGTAGCATTACCTTTCAAATTCAGTCCAGATCTTCTTGGTAATTCTTTGGAAGTTGCTGGGCGTAGATTTTTGCATTTAGAGCGTAGGTTTACTGCTCAGCCCGCTCTAAGAGAGGCGTACGATAGTGTAATCAAGGATTATATATATCAAGGTTATTTGTCTCCTATTGATACAGCCGATAAAGATCCTCTGCACTTTTACATGCCCCACCACGCTGTTCTTAGGGAAGATAAATTATCGACACGGATTCGACCTGTCCTGGATGCAAGTGCTAAGTCTAGTAGCGGATTTTCTTTAAATGATCTTTTATATGCCGGTCCCAATCTTCAACGCGACCTTTTTACAATCCTAATGAATATGAGACTATTACCTGTTGCCATCACAGCTGACGTGAGGCAGATGTATCTTAGGATAGGCGTCCGTAAGCAGGATCGACGTTTTCAGCGTATCTTATATCGCTTCAGTCGGAATGACAATTTAGGAGGTGGTTCAGATATTCAAATTCCAATAAAATCATTAGAATTCAATAGAGTAGCCTTTGGACTAAAGTGTAGCCCATTTTTAGCTCTTCGCACTGTCTCGCAACTAGTACAGGATGAGGGTCACCGTTTTCCTATAGGTAAAGAAGTCGTGCAGAGAGATCTTTACATGGACGATATAGCTAGCTCACTGATGAATTCCGATCGAGCTATTTCTGCCTTTCAAGAGTTAATCGGGCTATTTAAGGCTGGGGGCTTCGATCTAGTCAAATGGAGTAGCAATAGCACAAGGGTACTTGAATATATTCCTGAAGATTATCGCTTGTCGCAAAATGTCGAATTTCACAAGGACGATACCTTGAAAATATTAGGTCTTTACTGGCGTCCTCATGATGATGAGTTCGCCTTCAAGGTAATTTCAGATGATCGCCCTTGCACTAAGAGAAACATTTTGTCCTCTGTCGCACGTTTGTTTGATGTTTTGGGCCTGGTAGCACCTGTAATTTTGTATGCCAAGCTTTTAATCAAGGAGCTTTGGATTGCTAAAATAGACTGGGACGCTGATCCCCCACAACGAATTACACGACTGTGGAATGAATTCCGACGGGAACTTCCCCTGCTTGCCCAGATGAAATTTCCTCGGCACCTTGGAGTGGTTCATGGCTGTTCGGTGACAATTCTGGGTTTCGCTGACGCGAGTGAAAAGGCTTATGGCGCCGCAGTTTATATTCGAGTAGACGTCAAACAAATTCAGACAACTGTCATTTTGTCATGCGCAAAGTCAAAGGTTGCGCCCTTGAAGGTTGTTTCATTAGCACGTCTGGAATTATGTGCAGCCTTATTGCTTTCTAAATTAATAAAAAAGGTTTTTGAAATATATTCGAGTAGATACCCAATTGATTCGGTGTTAGCATTTTCAGACTCGACCGTAGTGTTAAATTGGATTCACTCTTCTCCGCACCGATGGCACACGTTTGTTGCCAATAGAGTCTCCAAAATCCAGGACAACTTACCATCGGATCACTTTTACCACATCAAGGGTAACGAAAACCCGTGCGATTGTTTGTCCCGTGGATTAACTCCTACACAACTTATGAATCACCCCCTGTGGCTACAGGGACCTCCTTGGGCCCATTTACAAAAAACCGAATGGCCAATAAAAACATTTGTGCCAAAGGAATTTTCCGACGCGCCGGAGCTTAAGTCTATTTCCCTAGTAATAATAAAACCAATCGAAGAACCTTTTCTTTATAAGCTAGCACGTAATTACTCTTCGTGGCAACGGTTCCTTAACGTGGCAAGCTACATATACAAGTTTATAAGGAAGCTACCTCTGGGACCCATAGTTGAGTCAGATTTGGAATTTACGGAATTAGAAATTATGAAGGTAATACAGTCAATACATTTTAGTGATGACCTTCAACGTTTAGAGAAAGGGGGATGTCGTTCTCCATCTATTAAAAAATTAAACCCATTTCTTAAGGATGGCGTATTACGCGTAGGTGGCCGTTTGGCAAACTCAGAGGAGAGTTTTGATTTTAAACATCCTATTCTCCTTCCTTGTAAGGATCATGTGGTAGACTTGCTCATACGCTCATACCACTGCAAATATTTACATACAGGACCAGGGTTGCTATCTTCTGTACTCCGTGTTAAATACTGGATACTATCTGCTAGACGTGCAATTAGAGCCATTATATCTAAATGCAACGTATGTTTTCGATCTAAGCCTCAACCTGGGTTCCCTATGATGGCTGACCTCCCTGAACCTCGAGTGAGAGCGGTTGTCAAAGCCTTCGTCCATACTGGATGCGATTATGCCGGCCCAGTCCTAGTAACACCATATCGTGGTAAGGGTATAAAAAGCCGTAAGGCTTACATCTGCTTGTTTACATGCCTTACTACACGAGCGGTGCATATTGAGCTCGCAAGCGATCTCAGCACAGCTTGCTTCTTGGCAGCCATGAAACGATTCCTAGCTAGACGGGGATCGGTTCAATGTTTTTATACCGATAACGGAACTAATTTTATTGGTGCCCGATCTTATCTTCGCGATTTGTACGCTTTTCTAAAGAATGAATATAAACCAGTGTGGGAAAAGCAGTTAGCAGAAAGTCGTATCCAATGGAAACTGATTCCTCCTAATGCTCCACACTTCGGTGGTTGCTGGGAAAGTAACATCAAGTGCATAAAAACCCATTTATATAGGGTCATCGGCCAACAAATTCTAACCTTTGAGGAGCTTCAAACAGTTTTAAGCCAGATTGAATCCATATTGAATTCACGACCACTTACAGTTCTCAGCTCTGATCCTTCAGATCCAGCAGTTTTGACGCCAGCTCATTTTTTACATACCGTCCCGCTTGATTTCCTGCCAGCACCTGATATCGATGATTCGATTCCGCATCTTCTAACTCGATATGAACTCTTAGACAAGTTGGTACAGTCATTCTGGATGCGATGGAGGAGAGAATATCTTCATAGCCTACAAGCCCGCCAGAAGTGGAACTCACCATCCTTCCCAGTTAAGGAAGGAACGGTTGTTGTAGTAATACAGGATAACATCACGCCCTTACATTGGCCCTTAGGCATTATAACACAAACCTTTAAAGGTAAGGACGACGTTATACGTGTAGCAATGGTAAGGACTAAGCACGGTACTTACCAAAGACCAGTGGTTAAATTGTGTCCATTACCAACTCAGTAAAATTCACAAATTATTTAGGTAAAGGGTAGATTAGCCTCTAGATAATAAGTCATAGATAAGTTAGTGGGATTAAGTAGATATAAGTAGTTAACAAACATTCTTTAGTATGTTGTAATAAGGTTCATGGAAGTGAGAATAAATTAATTTGGTCGATAAAGATGATTACACCTTTGAAAGCTTCCCTTTCAAGGCCGGGAGGAATGGTTCGGCTAGTTTAATAAGCAGCCGAAATTTCTTTGTTTATTTTGCTCTGAATACTCGCAACTGTTACACCAATGTTACTTTGGTTTGGATGTCCGTGTATTTCGCGGGTCGATGTGACTCTTGCGTACTATTGGTCCGTTAAAATTATGGACATCTTCCCGTCACGTGATCACATACTGTCAACGCCGCGCGTCGTGAGAAATGGCACGTTTTTTCGCTGCTCCCTAATATATGTTCCGCCGCAAGTTATTCCTAGAATTGGATAATCGTGAGTGACCGAAATCCGTGTAGCTGGGATCCCCGAAGAAGCGCACGAGAGCAGGAGCATCCGCCTTCGTATATTCAGGTACGTCCGACCTTAGTAATATTGTCTAGTTAACGGTATCGAGTAGAATCAGCCAGCGTCTATGCAAATTACAGTCCATTTACCATTTTCAACCAGTGCCAGTTAAACATTAATAATGATATTCGGGTCATTATACTGGAAATAGTCTTTAAAATATTTTGTAGTACAATTCATATTCTTCAGTATGATTGACCATGTGTATGACTTTTATAAGTCTATATTATTTTTGATGAAAATTATTATTGCAGATAAAATCCCTTTTTTCCTTTCACATTAATTTTAGTCTCGAATTAAATAAATCAAAATGAAAATAAGATCTTTGGCTCTTTATAACTGATCTTTAAATGTGATACACTGACTTGAAATTATATAATTATCGGCATTTTTTAATTTCATTGAACTTTATACGTGGTAGAGCCATGCTGCAGCTATATTAGTGGTGTAGTTGTGGCACGAATGGGTCGGCTCGACCGCGGAAGGACCACGCTCTCACAGAATACCAGCGTCAAATAGCAGCTTAACGCTGCTGTGTTTCGTATTGTGAGTGTAGAGAACCGGAAACCCTTTTTACTGGAAAAGAGGCATTCCATCTTAGTCCTCACGGCTGACAACGCATCTGCATTTTAATTCGCAAGCGAAGATTGATGTAGATGTCTATGGGCCACAGAAACCACTTACCATCAGGTGGACTGTGTGCTCGTTTGTCACCCTTATTCTATATAAAAAAAAAACTTTTTTAAGAAACTTTATTGGTAAAAAAAACAAATATATATATATTACAGTTCTTGATGAAAATTAAGTAAGCGCGTAGCATCGCATCCCATCAAGAATTTCTAATGTAATTTTTTGTGTAAAGCTAAGACGTGATAATAACTGTAAACAATAGAATAACAAAATAATGAAAACATTTGTAAATACTTGCTTTATAACCTAATAAATATTATTTGACCGTAATAAAATAAAACAAGGTAGTTTTCGGCATGAAAGTAAAAATAAAAAATAAATATTTTCGATTATTTTTGCAATATCTAACAGCCGGATCAGCGCGCGATTCTGATCCATCTAAAGATGCTAAATTTCATCAAGCACTGTCAAATTCAATAGGAGTGAGAGAAAAAACGGTTCTTGATATAGAAGGGTAAATAAATTATTTAACCTATAAAGTAAAATCACTTTATTAAAAATCAAAATAGCCCAATAGCTTTATTAACATGAGACACATAATTGTACGAGTGCTTACAATACTTAACATTATTTTACTGAAATCTCAGAATTTTTTTTTAATAGAATAAGGGTGACAAACTTGCACACAGTCCACCTGATGGTTTAGTCACCTTTTGGATTCACGATTACGTATCAAAATGTAGATACCTTGTCACCCGTGAGAACTAAGATGTAATGCCTCTTTTCCAGTAAAAAGGTTCTCCGGTTATCTACACTCACCATACGAAACACAGCAGGGTTAAACTGCTATTTTACATGGTATTCTTTGAGAGCGTGGCCCTTCCCCGGTCGAGCCGACCCATTTGTGCTACTACTATACCTACCACTAATATAGCTGCAGCATGGCTCTACCACGTAAGAAAAAAATAACATTGAAAATTTAAGTATTTTCAGAAGCAACTTTGCAATTATTTTCTATTGAGTGAATTTTTGTTGAATCGTGTTTTGCAAACCACCAACTGAAATACGTACAATTTTTTTCGATAACGTCGTGAAATTACAAAACGATCTCCATGCATATCAATGTGGCTCTATTCAGCCTCTTAATATGGACATACCTCGGGATTCAGAGATTTTAAAAGTTTTCATGCGAAGATAATGGAAGATTTATCATTATATTATTACCATCCCGTGTGAGGTAACCTTTATACTTATATACATATTCTCATCATATTTTTATGGTTGGTTATAAAAATTATATCTAAATGCAAACTTTCACAGGGTAATTTTTTTTTTTACTATTTTTACCCAGCAAGTAGTAAATCAACTAAAATCCCATTGGTAAGTGGTTATGTAGCCTAAGATGGTGAATTGCACTGACTTAACAAAAACCTATTCACTCTTGCCTAATAGTACTAGGTAAGTATTATTTGCGACCTATTTGTGTGTGTGTGTGGGTGTGTGTGTGTGCGCGCGTGCGTGAATGCGTGCGTGCGTGAGTGCGTGCGTGCGTGCGTGTGTGCGTGCGTGCGTGCGTAAAGAAAAGCGTATGAGAATACGTGAAGAGGAATAAAGGTTGAGTACTACTTCGCTTACCTGTACGATGTTGCCACTCGAGAACCTTTCTTCTCATTTGTTTTCCAAGTTATATAGCCAGCCCATTGCCATTTCAATTTAATATTCCGTTGGGCTATGTCAGTTACTCTGGTTCTACTGCGATAATCTTCATTTCTTATTTTATCACGTAGAGAGCCCCTCTCCAATTTAAAATTTTTACATTTTTTAGATGATAGTTTGTCTAACATTAAAAAAACCATAAACACAATAATGTCTTTATATAGTTATTTATACTTAGGGAAGCACCATTTTTTATATTTATTCAAATTGTTTGATTTAATTTGATAACAGTGTACCTAAATGTAAGTATCTGTATTTATATTTCCCTCCACAATAATATTTTATAAAGTCATACTCATAAAAACAGCGTTTTATTGTAATACATTATTATAAAATTCAATATCAACTAATTAATAAAAATATGCAAGAATAAATTACATAGGTATTAAAACTATAGAAACCTAACTAACGAGAGCATGTTCATTGTATCATATCTAAATTATATAAAAATGCATTATTCAATTTCACTAATCAACGTCGCCGTGAAAATTTCTTCTTCTTTGGGCAATTAAAAAATTAATTTGTTTAGAAAATAATATTTACAGTTACCAGTGTACAGATATTAACTAAATTAAGTATTTCTAGTCATAAAAATATTTATAATTGAGTATAAACTTTTAAAAAACTAATATATATTTGAACGAAGTCGCTCCAACACCGACGCGCGGTCCACCCTCGATGATGTCCAAAAACGGACTGTGACAGGGCGACGGAGCATGCGCGCTCGCGTAAATATATTCAATTTCAGGGAAAAATGATATATTCTCTTATAAAACGGGGAATAAAAATAAAACTGAATTAAAAATGTTAATATTTTAAAAACCTTTTTTGTAGTTTTTTTTTTATAACTTACGGTGACAAACGAGCACACAGTCCACCTGATGGTAAGTGGTTACTGTGGCCCATAGACATCTACATTTATCTTTGTTTGCGAATCAAAATGCAGATGCGTTGTCACCCGTGAGGACTAAGATGGAATGCCACTTTTCCAGTAAAAAGGGTCTCCGGTTCTCTACACTCACCATACGAAACACAGCAGTGTTAAGCTGCTATTTGACGCTGGTATTCTGTGAGAGCGTGGTCCTTCCCCGGTCGAGCCGACTCATTCGTGCTACAACTATACTACTAATACAGCTGCAGCATGGCTCTACCATGTATAGTGTAAGAACTATTTAAAAAGCTTGTACCGTTTTGGAGAAATTTTGCAAAATATGACAAAGATGAGGTACTCTTTGGGGTTTTTTTTCTAATAAAGGGTTGACAACAATACAATTTTGTTCAATTTAAAACATCTATTAAATCCTCTTCTAGTACCCTGTATTTTTTATTTGTGGAATAAATGAAAAGTTATTGAGATTTTCTTACTTAAATATCCAAGATTGAGGCATTTCAACCACTGTTAAGGCCTTATGTTTAGGGCTAGCGCCCACTGCGGTAAATTTTCGTACCTTATTTTTTCTCAAAATGTGCACCCCATACAAGAATGACAAGCACGCGCACTTGTATCATTGTATTAAAGACCACACTCTCACTTTAGAAAATACTTGTTGCGCGCCAGGCGGTGACTGATACCATCGGATAAACGCGCCGAGCCGAGCGTATTGAATGCAAGTTTTAAATGTTAAGGTTTGGCCGAAACAACAGATTTGTCCCGCTTGTTATAGCCACGTCCTGCATTGTGATTGCAATTTTCCTGCAAATACGTGCACTAAGCCTACTTATACCAGCAGTACTGTAATTAAAAAATATACACTTTATCATTATTATTTTTTTTCATTATATTAATTTCAATATAATATGTTCTATTCGAAAATCGGAACGGCTAACAATTTATAGGTATGAATTTAAAAATAAATATATCAGTCTGACTTAAGAAATATTGTTTTTATAGTTCTAAACATTATATTTTATTTTAGTTATCGTACTGTACACATACAAATCAACAAAATCTGCGTTACGTAATGATTTCTTATATTTACGCGAACAGTACACATTGAATAAAACTACTTTTACGGATTTTATCGCGTTTTATTTACTTATTTTATATTTCCGACGTTTCGGTTGCTTTCCAGCAACCATGGTCACGGGGGACTCCGTGAACATGGTTGCT